TGTAAGCATAAAATTCAGCACTTAGAAAAACCTGCTGTAGGGACTGTAAGCATTAAAGGCATTAAAGTCACTTTTAGTAACAGAATTAATTTCTTATTCTATGTCTGTGAAGAAAAAGAGTATTTCTTAATTATTTGAGTCTGAACTTTGAGAAGTTACTGTCTTTAATACAGACATGGTAAAACCCGAAGATTTTGTACAAATTGTCCCCGCTATAATTTCTCAATCTGTATTTTAATGACAGGAAAAACAGAACACTGTGGATTACTTTTCTGCAAATTACCACATACAGAAATTAGGATGTTATGTCACACAGTGTTCTGCAATCATTAGAGCTTTTTTATGTTTGGTTATTACTGATACTTTATAAATATTCTAGTATACAAATATACCATAGTACATTTGATAAAAATAAGCCCTAATTGCGGAAGGCTCTTGCTTCAGCCTTTCAACAGCTGAATACCAAATGTATTCATTCACACTCAGTGATTATTTTAGAGATATTCACATTTTTATTCATGAATTTGAACCACTGTAGAGTGCAGCTTGATTCACAGAGAGGACTTCTGTCTCTGCATTCGTCTTGATTGTAACCACTGAAACTAAGGAGGAGTTTTCAGGTTCAACTGCAAGGCCAGGATAATTATCACTGAGGATATTAACAGTCAATTTGGTTTGATTTTGAGTGGGTTTTTTTTTCAAGAAGACATTATTAATGCACTTGTAGTGGCTCATATTTACATTCATAATTCTGATCCCTGCAAACCTTTCCTTCTACTTCATAATACTGCATATGTGATATGTTCTGCAGCATCAAGTACCACACCATTTTCCTATTCCTACCCATCTCTAGATGGGTTCATTTTCTCCTATTACAATGTAAATTAGTTCTTACGAATCTGTGTGGATTTTTTGTCCCATTTGCACAAACAGTAGAAAATACTGGTTTAAGAGTACTGCTTACCCTTACAGCCAGCGTGATATCAGCGTATGCACAAAATCCTCCTCCTTTGTCACTTGAACAGTGATGAAAACCACCCCCTAAACGTAAAAACATTGAAGAGGTGAAAAGGCAGATACTGAGGAACGCAGATGGTCTTTGCAAAGAGACAGAGATCATGTACATGTCCGGCACTTGTCTCTCTTTAGCACATACCGTGCCTAGAGCTGTTACACCCTTACCTAGCCACACAAAACATCTCACGGGGTTTCTGTCCATATCTTACGTGTGGCCTACCAGACAGTCAGACAAAGGATCTGCAGATGCCCAGGTGAAGGGGAACTGTCCCTTTCATCTAGCAACCAGCCTAAGAACTGAGAAGTGCACCCACGTACCACACGGTGCCTCCGTGGCAAAGCACACTCCTTTGGAAGCTCAGCTCCCCCAGGCATCTTGCAGTTGCATAACTAACATTATGGGGCCAGTGGAAAGGACATGTGGGAAGTTCTTTTCTATGCTGAAGACTGGGTCAAAACAAAATACCAGAACAAAGAACTCTGGTGTTACCATTATTTGCAGATGCCATCGTTTTTTGCAAACACTCAGACCGGAAGAAACAAATAACTCCTCTCTAAAACACACACACACACACACACACTCCTCACATGAGAAAAGTACTTAGATCTCCCCCGCCCAAAACATATTTTTTTTTATATAATAAACTAGAACTTTATACTGAGAAACCCACCACAAATACCTGAGCAAGATACTTAATAAGCTTATATAATATGACATAAATTGTATGTCGTAACATAACAAGTTAAGTTATTACAAGCATATGTAATACTACAGTAAATATGACAGGCTTTTGGGTTTGTTTTTAATGTCCATTTAATTTTTAATATTGGATATTCACTTTGTAAAAGAAGTGTATAAGGAAATAATGGAAAAATCCCAGAATGGATGAAGTGTATGAAAACGACAAGCTGTCTTACATGACACAAAATACTGACTCAATAGTTTGCACTGCTATTTGCTATGAGCAGGAGAGCAGATTTATATTCACTATATTCTTCACAATTCGTTCATTCAAGTCTTTCAGGAAAAACTGTGCAGCCAAAAATAGACATTAACTAGTACAGTCCTGCTCTCCAGCAGATCAACCAATCCCTTGATCTGGTATAATCTATAAATTAGCTGATGATAACACCTGTGAAAATTATTTTATGATTTAATGAAAACAAAGATTTTTTTGAAATAGTTACATTTACATTTACATTTTTCCTTAATGTTTTTCATACTACTTCAATCCAAACACTTTTCCTCATATATATGATATCATATCTTTATCCAGTTATCTTTATTTTCCTTCCCCAAAAATATTTTATTTAATTATAAAATGGCAATACAGGTGGATAGTGGATGAGAAAACAAAACCAGTACTTTTTCTGTTTTTTTTTTTCCTTTAGAGTTGATTTTAGTTAAACCCAATCCAGTCACTTTCTGTTACTATAAACAGAATACACATCATGCTAAATGAAAATAATATGATTTTAAACACACTATTTCGAGTACCATTTAATGCACTACATTTGTACTTACCCACATTGATCGCCCAGCCTCTATCCAGAGCAAGTTTTCCTGCCTTAAAAAAAAAAAATCACATGAGAAAGTCAGGAATGAACAAAGCAACCGTTTAACACTGTCTGCTTCCACCCCAAATGCAACTCTTGGCATTCGGACATGCCCACTGAATTTTAGGATGACTGCAGGTCATTCTCAATCAGATCTCTGAATATGAACCATACAGAACTATCCTCAGCATAATTAGTTGATGAAATATTTGGTATCTCATCTGTATTTCATTCTCTGGCAGTTGAACAGATCTAAAACTAACTGCACTTTGCAGAGAGCAACACCAACCCCCAGCAGACAAGTGAAAAAAGGAAAGTACAAGGGTTGGCAAGAGTGAAAATGAGCAAGAATCTTCCTGTTCATGTAAAAATAGGAGGAATGTAAGCTCAAAATCCTGAAAATACAGATGAACATAGTTTCATCTGGGGGTACGGACAGGAAAATGTGACAGTATTAATTGTCCTCTGCCTTCTTTCTGAAGTTATAGAATATTACCAATCTTTTTCCCTCCAGTACAGAAAAACTGTGCCTGTATTTCCCCTTTGAACTCAAATGACATTCAGGGAAGCAAAACTATTGATTGAGAAGAGATACAAAAGGATTAAACGATGAAATTTTAATCAAAAAACCTGACTTATTTTGGTCAGGAAGAGACAAGTAAGTGTTTAACTGCAGTACTGCTTAAGTGTCATGTTAAAAAAAAAAAACCAGTTATTACTAGCTATAATGAAAAAAAAAAGAACAAGAGAAAAAGGTAAAAACAGATTGTTCTTTTCCATAATCATGGAAAGAACATAATACACGTGGTATTTGAACAGTTCTAATTTAGTATTAAGAAAACTACTGAGAGGGTAAACATCATCCTGTTACGAACGTGCGAACTTACACAAATTAGATCTTGAGAAAAGATTGCAGTTTCTGAACCATAAACCCCATTAAGTCCCAGAGAAAGCACATTATCTGTGATTTAGCATACTTCCTAGGGATTCCTCATCAAAAACCAATCTTCCCATATTGCTAAAAAAAAAAAAATCACTAGAAAGTACAGAAACTCAATAGGAATTTTCATGATAAACAGGACTAGCAGAATACTGTACTTCTGACTTGTACCGTACCTATTTTATTATCTGATGAATCAAAACTGCTTTTAAAGTACAGACCTATTTCCCCATAATGAAACATAAAAAAGGTAAAAACAACAGCATAGGGCATCAAGATCAATCTAAAAGTGACCAGTGATGTCATCTGTATTTCAGGAGGCATGAACTACTGGCTATCTTTTCTACATGACCACATTTATAACCAGCGAGCACACATTTAGGAATTAAAGATAACACAAGCACAATGAAAAACATCACAAAACTACGTAAGGTATTGACTAGTTAGGACCAAGTTGAAATAGATTTCACACACACGTACAGTCAAGACCCTCCAGAAATATCAAAGGTAGAATACTAGGAAACTCTAGACTCTGCCCAATTATTTTTCTCTTCTACCACTTCCTTCACTCCTTTTAACTACTGTACAGAAGGAGAGTGTGACTGTAGTAAGAGAAGTTTCTGCATGTTCCTACTCAGCCAGGGCTGTGCAGACTGGAAACCCTCATCTCGATAACCACTGCTGACTGCAGCCAGAAACACAGCACAGAAGGGAACTGACCAGGAGTCTGAAGTGATGCTGAAGGCCTAAACGGAGACAGAACACAACCAAAAATTTTTAAGCACCTTGAACTACATGAATGACATGAAACCAGAATTCTTCCTCTCTACTACTACCCAGTCTAGAACATCATTTTTAAAAAAAAAAAAAAAAAGAAAAAGTCAAGCTACCCCCAAACTTCCTAGCAGCCCACTGAAAGCAAGATGGCTACACAGCACCAAAGTGGTTTTGCTGGTATCTATCTCCAGCTCCTGCTGGTAAACTTCCAGGAGAAAACGTTCCAGGTGTTTATGCAGGTTTGTATTAGGCAGACGCACTGTGTTCCACTTCTACCAGCTCCGCTTTTGCCAGTTAACACCCACTACAGGACGTGATGGTTTTTGTTGTCTAGCCTATTACCATAATCCAGTAAGTCTATAGATTTATCCAGAACCCAGCATGTTCTTCCCAACTCATATACTTCAATTGTCTTTAGAGGCTGGTTTAACATTTTCAGTAGTTTATCTGGTTTTCTCCTGCTTATGCAGACTTTTAGGCTTCAAAAACAAAACCTCAGCCATCGCTACACCGTAAAAACTCTTTCACATATTTCCTTACCTCACTCACTACTCTTCGAGTTGAAACAACACGTACATCCAAGAAGACAGAGCAACACAAGAGAATTAAAGTAAAATTAGGAAATAGGATTTAAGAGGTGAGAACAATAGTTGGAGAAACAGAGTCCAAGGTGGGTGAGATACACACAACTTTTCTAAAACAACAAAAGAAAGCCAGTTCCACTCACAAGCCTGAGTGGAAACCAGACTCAGCAACCTGCAAGGACACTTGAACATGGTAAATGGCACAGGACTCACTATTGTCCTAATGATTTAGGAAGAAACCACTGGTCATTTCTATTTAACAGCTCAGAGCAATAAGCAGCAGTTAACTCACTTCACACTGACAATTCCAGCACCAAGAAGGGGACTTTTTGATCTTTCTCTCTACTATTCCCATGTTCAAAAGCTTACTGGAAATCTTCATAGAATCACAGAATGGTTTGGGTTGGAAGGGACCTCAAAGATCGTCCAGTTCCAACCCCCCCTGCCATGGGCAGGGACACCCTCCACTACACCAGGTTGCCCAAAGCCCCATCCAACCTGGCCTTGAACACTTCCAGGGATGGGGCAGCCACAGCTTCTCTGGGCAGCCTGTTCCAGTGCCCCACCACCCTCAATGTAAAAAATTTCTTCCATATATCTAATCTAAATCTCCTCTCTTTCAGTTTAAAGCCGTTGCCCCTTGCCCTACACCACATGCCCCTGTAAAAAGGGCATCTTCTAATATCCCTTCGCTACTTTTCTGCTATGATTACAACTCCCAACTTTTCCTCCAATCATAAACAAGATTCTTCTGAACACATGCATACATACGTCGATATACTTCCCAGCTACTCTGAGTACTTCACAGTATCATGAAAAGCTATGTTATGCAAACACTACAGTCCCCATTATAAACAATAAAATGCACCAGTTGGCAACACAGCTCAAACATGATGATATACTCAAACTTTCTGAAGAGCTCAAGACTGTTAAATATCTGTGACCAGTGCTTTGAAGCAAAAAGGGAGTTCATGACATGCTTAAGAAAATTAAATTGCACTGTTAGAAGATGTTTCTGAATATTAACAGTAGATATTTAAGCCCAGTCACAAGCTGTCCAGTCCATTCTATTTCTTTCTCTACCACCTTTTGGTAACAAAAAAACCCCTCACAGTTACTTTTACATACACACTTGCAAATCCAGCAGCTGGATGGGACACAGTTTTAATGTCAGAGTACTAAAATACTGAAAAATTGCCTTTTTTTTTTTTCCAGTAAGTAATTGGGCATTGGGTAGTTCTATCATTAAAAAAGTAAATACAACAGAAAAGCAGGATACTTCATCTTGCCTTAAAATCTGGTAACAACTGTCTCTTCTCTGCATTGTAAAATCCAAGAGGGCAGAAACTTAAAGAGTGCCCAGATCCACTTGTACACACAAATGATAGTAGCAACAGTCAATTTCACGTCGGCCCCACAAAATTACTCCAAAAACCTTGGAGAACTGCTTCTGCAAACCTTTGGGCTCACTCACATCATTCTCACAGGTCAGACTCTCAAACAGATTTGACCTTTTTCATTGTTTCTGAAAATCGTGCTGCACTGCCTTTTATGCACTTGTCATAGAAGAGCTCTTTGTGTTACATCTTCAATGAATTCTTGATACACTTGCGAAGGTGAGCGTTTAAAAGTAAGAAACTTTGACGCCAATGCAGATTACTAAGTACCTACATTTCTGTTGACAGAAATGGGAAGCTACTATTAGCCTATTTCTGAAAACAATGCCACTATTTTATCATTCATTCACGGCTTCCCAGTCTCTCTCACCTTTAATATGTAGTAGTTGCAATAAATCGTATTCTCCTGTCTGGCACAGACATACCCTGAAATGTTTGCCAACCCACAGAACAGTGTGCTTCAATAACTGGCTTCAAACAGACATAGAGAAATCAGTATGGGATTCTATCGTTTTCCATGTACCCACTGTAACAGCTATCTTCAGGAAGAGCAGCTAAAATGCAGCAAAGATCTATTTGTACCATAATATTAATGAGGTCAGATAGGATTATTTATCTTCCATTTACCTAACTGTTGGAGCTCAATGCCTGTGAAGAGAGACCAGGACTGTCACTCTTCTCCCAGCACCATGCTGTACAGCTTCTGAACTCTGGCTCTCATATGACATGGAATGATGAAAAAGGGCAGAAAAGACTCCACCAGTTACAGGTTTACAATTTTGAAGGCATCTTTCCCTCAATACATGGTTTAAATAACTCATTCTTGGCTCCAGCTATTAACTACTCTCTTTCCTCTGACCTCCTCAGCATCTCTAATTGTAATTCTCAGGAAAAATTAGATGTCTCACAACACTTACACAGCTCTTCTGACCCGAGCACTCATTTAACTAGAAAACAATTCTGCTAAGGTGAAACAGGCTACATCTCACTTGAGTTCAGTTGAGCAGCATACACAGTATTTACAACAGAAAAAGTAGAAAAACTAACTTTAATCATTAAAATGAGGAAAGTGACATGATTTTTAAATTTAAACACTTACCTAGTCTCAAGAGCAATCAAACCATGCATCTCTTCCCATACAGTAACGAAGGCCATTTGGTAATTATGTGCTTTAAAAATAGCTTCTCTATTATCAATTTTGAAACCTCTCACTCCTAGAATTTGTCTGTATTTGAACACTGTTTGAAGCCAGTTCAGTTTCTGTATTTGCCACAAGTCCTGCCACATCTATCATAGCTTGCCCAGGCTGCCCGTTCACTTCTGCAAATTACGGACCATGAAATCAGGGATGTCCTTCACCTTGGTAGTTGCTAACAAGCAGCAAACATTGCTTATGTTTCGGACTGTACACTAACTCACAGGTTTATAGTGTTTTGATCAGCAAGGTTAAATACAATAAAAGTGAACCAAGAGCACCTTACCATTATTGTTCCTCCTGTCTGGGTTCGTAGAGGTTTCAAAACTTTTCTCTGAACAACGAAATTCGGAAGAAAGGCAACTGGTGGAATTTCTGTGATTGTAGCCACAACAAACGACCACTACAAAGGGGGAAAAAAGAGTTCCAATTAATGTAGCCTGTCTTAATTATGACATTTAGATCTCTCAGCAGTTGTTATTTACTGAAAAGGAAGTCACAGGTCCTTAGCAAGATTTTTAATATTTTTGATAGGGGTGATCACAACAGCCCTTATTAGTAACCTCCAACTAGGTTCACCCTCACGTTGTTAACTATGAGAATCATCACTTTCAATCACCATCACTAGATTTTTCAGATTTTAGTATCAAATTATAATAAATCAGCAACTTTTCAGCAAGCTAGTATTTCAGAAAATCTAACATCCCTGGGAGTAGGAGAAAGAATTGTAAAACATTCTTCTGTAATATTAATAGCAAGCTCTGCTTGGTATATTGTTCAAACCTAAAATATCTTTTCCTGGGTAAAGTCAAAAGGATATACCAAGGAGAAAGGAAAAACAAACAAACAACTCAACTGAGAACTTCAAATACTTAAGTGAACACACAGTGCAAATTTTCGCATGGCGAACTGATTAAAATTTATTTAGCATATTAAACACTTCTGGAAAACGTTTCAAGGAAACATTTTGTTAAGAAGTCATATCATTGAGAATGTGACGTGAAGGTTTAGAACCTAAAATATTTGCAATACGTAAATGCTTTTTTTGCAAACACATACAGATAAGTTACTTCAAAGAAATTCTGCTAACATGGCTACCAGCGGTAACACTGCTAAACATGTTTCAAAGCCCAAGTCACAAGCAGGAATATACCTCTTCATCCCAAACTGAAACACTCAGGTACCGAGAATTACGAATTTGACACCCTGTACAAAGATTCTGGATAGATTCTATTTCCTTCAACATTAGCAAATGTAACTAGATGCAGTACATCTGTCACCTGATCACCGTTAGCTGTCTATGTACAAATGACAGGATGTACAAGTGGTTGATTTTAACCAAAGACGATCACATGCCAATTTCAGGGTCCTCTGGTACTCAAAAAACCTGAAGCTACTTTGGCTTCCCAGTTATGAACTTTTCAACTACAAAGTACTACTGGGTGGGGTGGAGGGGTAGCATTATTCATAAAGTTCTTAAGTACTATCTTCTGTCAAAAGTTCATTTTAAGCTCTTACTACTTTTATACTTGTAAGACATTATTCTGTTACCATACTACCAGCTCTCCATCATTAACAAAGTGCTTTGGTTATCTTGTGATATAGCCAATCCTGAAAAAGTCTCTTTGAAAGATATTTTAGCATAATATAAAAAACTAGATTCAATCCTGTTCTAAAACGCAATTGCAAAGGTCACATTTGGATAAAACAAATTTTGATCTCAAACGTGAACGGTGATCACAAAATTTCAGAAAGTTTTAACACAGATTAAAAAAAAATTAACCTCAACAGAAAGAAGTGGGAGCAATAAAGACTCAAATCAATAGGTGCACTGCTGCAGGTGTTTAAGTGAATGCAAGAAACCCATATGTGGTACGAGTAAAGAGTAAGCAAAACTTTATTTGCAGCTGAGGACATCCAGAGGACAGTGCCAAGCCCAAAGACATGCACTGCTTCAGACTTAGTCCTCTACTGTGTTTATGTGAGTCCTAACATAAGGGGGAAAAGTCATTTTGCTGTGAGGAAAGTCTTGGGGCTCAAGAATGCAGCTGTAGACTAATGAAAATGCTTCTCAAAATCAAAAGTAATTGGTTTTATACAGCTGTATACTTTTCATGTTGTAAAATAAAAAATTATTTTGAATAGATGAGGACTACACTAATTAAGTTTTCCAGGCTATCAGCTGGCTTCCATAACACAAGTCTTCACACATCTTAGTTTTTCTTTGATAGAGAACAAAGCGTTCAAATTTTTGATTTTTTAAAACATTTTTTAATTTTATTCAAATCAGAATATCGATTACTATTTCTTTTGGTAGATACTTGCTCTCAACTCAGACATCAAAGTGCTGATTCTCTAGTAGTTTTGTAAACATGCAATTATGTAACTTAACAGAAGTTAAAACTTGGTCTGGATTCAAGGAAGAGTAAGAACCATATAAAAAACACTATTCAATAACATGCTTTCACTTATTCTTTTTAGCTATCAACTCCATTGGACTCTTTATTTCTATTGCTTATATAAAAAAATTTAAGAAAAATATTTACTTTCCTGTGTTTTGGATGAATAATTCACGTATGATTTAAGCTTCCATTTTTAAACAATTTCACTCCATTTTCTTAAAAGGAGTTATGAAGTCAGGTTAACCCTTAACCAGGTATATTCTCCTTTAACACACATCTCCTATCAAAATGACTAGACAGTATCATTAAACGCAGCAAAGTGTAACGCTATACCAAGACGTTACATCTAAAAAATCCCCCCCAAAAAAACGAAACAAAACCAACCAACAGACCCTTCAAGAGTTCTTCGTTTTCCTTACTTAAGCCCAAACTCTACAAAAACATATACATTTAATGAGGATATTCTTGCAGGACTTTACTTATGGAGTATTATTACTATTAACTTTAATTCCTTAACTATAAAAACTCTTCTTAGTGAGGTTAAATGACCTTACAAATGATTTCAAATTATTAGTGTTCAAGGACTAAAAGTTAAACTGAAAAACTAATATTAGGAAGACAAAGCTAAAGGAGTTGCTTTTATGCTGATACATCCTGGACTAATCAAACACCACATTAACGATCAAAACCAACCTCTGATGTACTGCGCCTTTTATGTTATGCATTCATTGCATTCCAAGATTTTAAATAGCCAACAACACGTAAGGGTTTTTTAAAAGTATGCATTTTTGTTCTTTAATATCTAAATTTAAACTGTATTTAAATCTTTTGTAAGTTCCTGGAGCTAGTCCCAGCTTCAAGGGAATATTCATGGACCTAAAAATCCAACACCAAGCAACCGACGTGATTTTATATTTAGAAGCTTGCCTGGGACAAAACTACTTGGGTCCATCTTCAATAGATAAAGGATGTTTTTAGCTTGAATTAACATAAGATAAAATCATAAAGGAGAGCAGGAAGCTTGTAATTCTCACAAAAGTTTCCAGGTCAAGGTATGAATGCACTATTACCATTAGGACTAAGATACTGCACTGGTAGAAACCAATGAGGGGTGACACACCCAAGAGAACCAACCAGCCAAAAAACAATTGTGTGTCTCCCAGCCCCTGAGTTGTAAATATTAAAAGGAAATAAAGATAACCAAACGCTAGCCTATCCTTAAGAGGTTTACTAGTTGCTTTAGCTGCAAAGAATGCCCTACAGCCTTTACACAGTGGTGTAAATACTGAAATCTGTCAGACCTAGTTCCCTGTGACTACGCAATCTTCTTCAGTGTTTTCTTCAAACATACTCAAACACCAATACCTTCCAAATAACATTTTTAGTATATTCCTACAGACTTTTACCTGACACTTTAACATTTACATGAAAATCTATGTAAAAGGGATCAGATTCATTTATCTGCTCTCATGACCATTCAAGTTAACATTTTACAGCAAACCACCACACGCCTTTATACGTTTTTCACCAATGAAGTCTGAAAAAAGTGAGCAAGGCAAAGGCAGGATGTAGAGAGCAAACAGAGACAACAGATGCCAGCACAAGAACTGCACAACCTGAGGAACCAGACAGGGGAATTTTAAGCACTTCTGAAGGTGCCCATTTGAGCCAAACCAGAATCACACATTCTCAGCTGCCAAGTCACCTATGGTCACCAACGCAACGCGCACAGCCCACGAGACATTCTGTGCTGGTTTATCTGAACCCCTACACCAGCCTGAAGCATCACAGGCTGAACAAATTATCTGACGAGCCTGCTCCTACTGCCTTCCTTCCCAGAGTCCTACCACCCTCCCTGGGCACGCTGCCAGTACCACCATGCGACAACAGGAGGCACCTCTGGTCTCTTGGCAGATGAACCCACATGACCAGGCAAGAGTCAAAGCACAGAAGCACTTGAACACCAGGCAACACTCCCTGTAATGACATCAATCCATTTTTCACTAAGCAGAGAAACTTACATTTCTAATAAAGTCATGAAATTTTTATTTTTAAACCTACATAATTTGCAAATATATAAAACCAATTAAAATTTCTAAGTTCAATTGACTGATCACCTGTTTCAGATCACTTTCAGAATAGCACATCTTGCATTCCACTGATGCACAAGCATTATCCTCCTCATTTGCATTTCAGTATTCAGTCATACATGTTATCATTGAGCTTCTCGTATATCAAAACAGTTCAAGTGAAAGACTTCTATTTTCTAAAACTAGCTTTAACCTCACTGCCTATCTCCTTCCAAAATTTCAGAATGCTGATACGCAGGAAATTCATTATTTTACATAACACTAGAAAAAGGCAGTAAGTGGAAAAGTACTGCAAGCAAATGATCAAAGTCCAGTCATTAGCTTAGAGAACTAAATTCTTCAAAGGAGTAACTGAGGGGGAATCATCTCAATTCAAAAGGCCAAATTTTGTGTTAAGGACTAGCTATGTTACCTAAAGTAAGGAAACAGGGAGACCCTTCCTTCCAACGCAGAACTAGTTCCTACTACTGTCTGATCTACTTTGTGCATACCATTTTGTTTCTCTTCAACCAACCCTCAGCCAGCTCCTTCAGCTGCTGCTAAGATACCAACCACCATCTCTTCTGGCAAGTGTATGGAATTCCCTAACAAATTCATGCTCAAATTTTAAATGAAGAACACTCCAGCGATCCACTATTTTAAGAGACCTAGGCATTCCCAGAAATGCAAGCACCTTCGTAGATCTAACATAAAACTATGCCATTTATTGGTAGATCTGTACTTATCTGGATTAAAAAAAATAGCACAGCGGACTTTGAATAAAGCAATACAGAGGATATTCCGGGCCTTCTCATGTCTAACCATGTTGTTTTTCACTTGCAACTAGTCACTTTTATCTTCATTGCTTGGCAGGAATTTGCTGGCATGACCAATACAACATCTTTCAGTTTTTACAGTCGCAGGAAATATTCTCTCAAAAAAAGGGGAATGACTGATACACAGTTTAGCACATCTGAATGCACACGACAGTACTGGTTTTGAACACCGAGACACAAGTTATGCAGACGATTCCCTGTGAAGCCATCCTGTAGGTACTAAAAACATTATTATGGTATTCCAAACTGAGCTATGCACATTAAACCCTGCTTTAAAGAAGTGATTCAGTAAAAAGAGGTGGGTGGTTCTATAGAATTAAAAGCTCAATATCAAGAATAGCTGCAATAAGATCAAATCTAATGATGTATGAAATTGCATGTAACTTTGTAGCACAGAATGAAGAAGCATAAGACAACTCAGAAAAGGAGTAAGAGTGAGCAAAGTTCACACAAATAAGAGATCCCTTACACAGAAAAACAAAGCATTCCAGAAATAGCAATACAAGGACTCTCTCACTGTAGAAGGGCAAAGATGACTCAAAGTAACTTCTTTTGAATTACGAAATGGAAGATTATTTCTCATACAAATCCCTCTCTGCCCTCCAAGTAAAGAGTTGCAAAATAAGGGCAATGTCACCTGTGCTTATCTACTATCCAATTCCACCTACGGATGACTGAATATATTCAGAACCAGAGATCTGTTTCAAAGTTACGCTGAAGTTCAACAAATGGATGTCCATTTAGAAATACCCCAAGAATGTTCTTTATCCCCCAGGAACATGTAATCCTGTATGAGTTGGTACAGGACACCTTCACACACAGGTAACACGCAAGGTTATGCCCCTACATTGATCTTTCAGCTCTCTCCACATTCCACCGAAACAGGCAGTGTCTGAGCATGAAGCCAGTGCTTCCCCCCCACAACAGACTGACACGGATGCTCTTTTGAGATTCCATAAACCTCAAACCCAGAAAGCAATGCTTACACTAAAAAACATTCAATAAAAGTGCTTCATTTCAGTGCTCTCCAGTGTATTTTCAGTTTCAGAACAGTATTTTATTAGAGTAAATGAAAATTTACACTTCTGAAGACTAAAACCCTAGTACTAAGGAGAATATTATTTACATCTCAAACATTAAATTTTTCCTTAGGTTTAACTTTCCTGAAAAATCATTTCGGGTCACCTGTATCATATGCTAAACCCTCTTCCCCCTCCGCCCCTCTATAGTGCGAATTGCTTACTGTTTCTACCTTTTTCTTTCAGTATTCTCAATGACAATGTTACCCATGCTATCAAAATATACCATTCTACAATCTGTTAAAGCTGATTTTGTAACAAATCTAGTCGGACATCTGTGGCCTTCGACACTAATTGTAGACAGTTTGCTTGAAAAACACATTAATAAGTACAGCACCTTTAATTTATTAAGGTAGCGCCTTGTGTGAACAACCAAGAGATCTTCATCAGTAGCTTCCCGTGCCTGTACAATCAAGTCATCTGCAATTAGTTTTTCTTCTGAAACAGAAGAGAAGTAACAATTGGCATTGTTTACCATCGCTTAACTTCCATATTCCACCCTGCCAAAGCAGCTACTTTAGGCTTGATGTAATAACTTCATCGGTACCGTCAATCACTGAAACCACTTTTGTTTACTCGGTGCTCACAAGTTTTCCAAATACAGACCACCCTCTATATATGTAAGTCATTAAGGTAGTGTGTATATGATAAATATTGTTCACAGAAAGTTTTCAGAGTGTAATCATGGCAACTTCTTGTTTAAACCAAAAGAAAAGACAGGCAATGACAGGATGGACACAAAATAATCACAGGACTCCTTACAGTCTAGTCCCCCTACAGACTGGGGAAGTCTTAGTGCTCGTACCATCAAACATTTACCATTTTTTAACATGCTTTAAGAAATTCCACTGTTGATACTAGTATTTAATTACCTAAATTAGAGGAAAATTTAAAAAAAAAATTAAAATTCAAAACAAAAGAATTGCTTGGATGTTCATGGAAAGATTGTCTATGCTTAATTGGGATAGTTCTGTCACATCCTTACCTCCATTTAATTTCAACAAAAAACAATGACCAGCTATTAATTCCTCCTCTGAAAGACCATTGCATAGCTTACTGAAAAACCTAGCTTTATAAGAGTAAGTTACAAAATACCACTCCAGGATTTCAGAATGTGACCAAAGATAACACGTTTGAATGCATACATCTGGATATACTTGCCAGAAAGTTAAAGTTAGGGTCAACCAAAAAAGCCAAGCCGTGCAGAAAAAAAATGCTGCTTTGCATATGATCACTACAAATGACAAATATAAGGCATCATGCCCATCTTCCCAGAAAAACTATTATATTTAATTGCTGCATGGCTGCAGCCTTCTAAGACTGTACCTCTTCTCCAATTTTATACTTGGAGGAGGAAGAAAACAACTCACAAATGTGAGAGATTTTGTTCTGAAGTGTTATACAAGAGCAGCACCTGCAACAACATTTGTTTTGGCAAGCGTACATTTCTCCTGACCGAGGCTTGAGAAGCATTTCATTCATTCACTGGTGTCAGACAGAAAGCCAAACTGTCAACGGTTTCATTCTGAGGAAGGAGAGGTAAGTGTAGAAAGATTTTCACTGGTGATTTTCTAGAAGATGACAGGGAACAGAGCAGGTCAGCTGTTGCCAGGAGTTACTTCAGAGCCAGCAAAAACCAAAAGCACCCTCGGGTATCCTGTGGCTTCTTTTTCCTTTACAAAGCAAGGAGAGTAAAATGATTGGGAAAACTAATTTTCTGTGAAAGACTAAGAGCACAGAGTGGACACTTCACACAGAAAAGAGCTAGAGGAAAGGAGTTTACACAAGCAGCAGAAAGGCAAATGTTTTGATTAATTAAGAAAACGGTCATGGAATCCAAGACTTAATTATTTAAGGTTGTTAGAGGAAAGATCCAAAACTCAGCTACTAAATGGAGTGTTAGAATTCGTTTAATCTCAGTTAAATGAATACCAGGCAGCTCAAAGTCAGAAGGGCAATACTTGACTGCAAAAGTTCACCAGTTGAAGGAGTCATTAGGACCACATAAATGGAAGAGGCCTGGCTCCCAGACAACTTTTGTCTCGGCAAGAGAAAAAGTCTTTTTTTTTTTTTTTAAACTTGATGAGCAATCTTAAACTTTAGATGAAGAGATGCCAAGATTTTACAGCCCCTGATCCTAACTTTGGTTCTTACATTTGTATTTCCTTAATGTACTTCTGCCTGTATCTTCCAATTTGTTTAAACAGCAATAGCGAGCACCATCACAAAAGGTTCTTTATAAGAACGGATTTATAGAAGCTGCACTTATCTTTCAGCCTGAAAAGCACCATTTCCAAGTAGATTCTCTGCAGTCTATGTTGAATAACTAAGTTACACCCCGCAGCAGGCCGGTCATTAAGGCCTGTAGTTTCACAAGCCCCAAGGAATGCCCCGGTTCTTGCTACACCAGGTGTAAAGCAATAGAAGTACAAGGCTATAGGAAGCTATCCACAGTACTCCCAAACTGCAATTCAGGTCCTGCAAGCCAAACCATTTGTAAGCTTGCAGCTAATATAGGAAGGATTTTCCATTCGTTGCTATGAAACTGAAGTCTTTGTTCTGTTTTACATCCAGGCTTGGTCCTCAAAGGAAAGGGCAAACCGGAACTGCGAGGAAACTTAAAGGAAATATTGTTCTTGTACACTCATCCAGAACTGAAAGTGTTTGAATCATTAAAAATCTATTGAGTATCAAAACACAGCATGTTGAGCTACGTCCACGAGGCTCTAGCATTCTGCATCTAACTCAGGCTACGCTGAGAGTCGAGATTCTGGTGCTCACTTCAGAGATGGAAACAGTTCTCAAATAGCCGAGACGAACATTTCTCATAAAGGCCAAGCAATGGTATCCTGCTCACTTCATGCTTTCACAAAAATCAGAAATATTGTAAGATGGTCTAAGACATTGCTATGCTCATATTTCTCCTTCCTCCTTCTTACTCAGAGTCTTGTAAAGCTCTGGGCCAGATTGAAACGAGCCAAACTAGTTACTCTGACCAGTACTATTCACACCTCTGGGGAGAGCAAATCATTTAATAAGCTTCAATTTTCAATCACATTTCATGAGTTTCACTCTGCACAGACACCTTGATTGAGCTGAAACCAAAGCTGTGGGTTTATTTAGTGGAGCAGGCTAGAAAATACATTTTTAAAGGACTACGAAACAAACCTCTATTAAAAAGGCTGGGTGTAGGATGTTTGCTCTAACCTTACAATTTTCATCTTTTAAATGCTTCATAGATAACATCTTCAACAATGTGACATCCAACCCTCAGAAATCCTACAACCAATTTAACTCACTAAGATTTAAGTCTGCAAATATATAAGAATACTAAAACATTCCAAATACGATTAAAGAGCGTAGCTTAAATCTACACAATGAGCAATGAAGATGTACAGTCACTATTATACTGCCATTTTTAACATAAGTCTGCACTAACTACATGATTTCTACCAGTTTTTGTGCAAATGTTGGTCTACGAGGTACCTTCTGTTATTTTACCTTTCAAGAAATTGATTACTTTTCCCCATTTCCCTGCATCGAATGGATGCAGCTTCTCAAGTCCCATGAACGTAATGTTGTAGTCTGGAGAATATACGATAGGCCAACATGCTGATGGAGGATCTTCGTACAACTCAGTTCTGTGAGGCCTTGAAAAGCAAAAAACAAACTAGTCACCATTTTCAGCAACGATTTACAGAGTCAAATGCTTTTCACTAAAATACCGGATTAGAGTCCTTATTAATACTAACTTTACCCTAGGAATGATTCCTGAAGATGCTATTTGCAACGGCTACTGAAGGAAACACTTGGTTGTTTAGCTGTTTTCAGCAGCAGAGTCAGGGAGAGAAACACTCCTCACTTCAACTAGTACAGTTACGCTCCTGGACTAACCAGAAGTGGCAAAAAAAAGAATAACTGAAGGCTGAAGAAAGTACATTAATGAACCATGCATAAGGAGTTCATTTCAGACATTAATTAATGAAAACGTTTGCTTCTCTCTCCTCATCCTTCCAAGTTCATCAAGCAGCAGCACCTCTACCTTAGAAGGTCCATGCAGCTTTACGGACAACATGACCTTCAACAAATACATTACCAGACTCACATTTTAAAGACTGTATCAAAATACAACTGAAAAGAGCAAACCACACTGCTCTTACACACGATGCTTCTAACAACACAGGACTGGAAAACCTTACAGGATCCTTTCCTAAGAGTAACAGATGATTTTGTGACCAGCTCAGCAGAAGTAAAGAGGCTTGGTTTTGTATTTGCATGGCATACGACCCCAGGACATACCCTCAACTCTGCATCTCATGCCCGTAACCCTTAACCACTACTTCCCTTTACCTATTCCCCCTCCAAACTCTTATGTTCTCCAAATATGAGGAGCGACAGCAGAGCGAGCTCAGAGCCTCCTTCACAACCCTTTCTCAGAAGTGGCAAGCAATGCCGTGCTCTGCATTTACAAACACACACACTGAGTATTCGGTGGCCGCCGGTGTGCACACACGGGTCAACAGGCAGGCCAAAGCCCAGAGGTGTTCTGTGGTCACACTCAGCTATCCCACCAGCTGTGCCCTCCCTTCTCTGCCCCAAGCCCCACGTTACCAAGTTATGCTGAGACCTCTCTTGCTCCCCAAAATTTAGCCAAAGTTTACAAAAGGCCTGGCAAATTACTGAGCAAGACAGAGCAGTCTTTTGTCAGGTGAACAACACAAACAGCATGTCCAGCCTAAGTATGCTCAAAAATGCCCTTTTAAAATCCAGCTAAAAGCAAAACAAAAAAAAAAACACACAGGAAAACAATGGAGGTTTTTCACCAGGGACTGCAGTCCTGCTCCCCACACACGACCCACGAACAGAGCCAGGGCTCCCTGGAGCCTCCCCGCGCCCCACCCCACGACAAAAGGCAGCTTTTGCAAAACGGGATGTGCCGCCCCCGCTCC